CTGAAGCAGTAACCAGGACAGGAAGTCATGGGAAATGTCACCAACCTGGGACATGGGCATAAAACCTGACCAGGAAGCTTTCTCCATGTTAAATCTCCAGTCTCACCTCATTGGACTTGTTCTTTAGTCGGACAAACTTTCCTTCCTGGTCCACCTCCTCGACGCCCACCTTCCCGCTGGTCCTGGCGTGCTGAGTGTAAGTTGTGGTCTGCGAATCTGCCACCTCCAGTTTACGCTTCTTGGAGGAAGAGCTGACATTTCCCGCGGATTGCCCTCCTGTCCGGGCCACCCTCTTCTGCCCGCTAGGGCTGGGGGAGAGGCGGAGCCTATGGAGAAAAAATGCAAATGGTTGGCCTTGAGTGTCATTATCGATCAATGGGATTTGCGGCCATATTGGCTCTTGGGGGTGGTAAAAGGCGCTGGCTCCTGAGGCATAGGTCATCAGAGTTTTAAGGGGGTGGAACGTCTATAACTGGGGTACTAGATTCGAATTATCAGTGGTTCATGGTGGAAGGAGGTCAGTTTAATTCATATGGACACCGTGGCCCCAATGAGGCTGCTCTGAGCACAAACATGGCACCCCTTACCTAGGAGAACCCGCAGTTTGGAATCTGCAGATAAAAAGTCTATTGGGAGCACCGGCCCAAAGAAATAAGAGTCCAAAGTTTACTATTGGGGTTATAAGACAAAATAAAAAACAGCCAAACTGTATTGGGGGCCCAGAAATGGCGCCATCACCACAATCAATTATTTGGAAGGTGAACAATGAAAAAGATAAGGCAGTGTTGCAGCAGCTGCTCTGAAGGGGGGGATCTTTGAACGCCGAAACATTCGCTTTTTGTAATAACAGGTTAGCGGGGGCCAAAGGGTACCCTATATTGATGGTGCTACCCCATGGGGAGCCGAAGGATGCCCTATATTGATGGTGCTACCCCATGGGGAGCCGAAGGATGCCCTATATTGATGGTGCTACACCATGGAGAGCCAAACGGTGCCCTATATTGACAGTGCTACTCTATGGGGAGCCAAGCGGTGTCCTGTATTGATGGTGCTATCCCATGGGGAGCCAAAGGATGCCCTATATTGATGGTGCTACTCCATGGGCAGCCAAAGGATGCCCTATATTGATGGTGCTATCCCATGGGGAGCCAAAGGATGCCCTATATTGATGGTGCTACACCATGGAGAGCCAAACGGTGCCCTATATTGACAGTGCTACTCTATGGGGAGCCAAGCGGTGTCCTGTATTGATGGTGCTATCCCATGGGGAGCCAAAGGATGCCCTATATTGATGGTGCTACTCCATGGGCAGCCAAAGGATGCCCTATATTGATGGTGCTATCCCATGGGGAGCCAAAGGATGCCCTATATTGATGGTGCTACACCATGGAGAGCCAAACGGTGCCCTATATTGACAGTGCTACTCTATGGGGAGCCAAGCGGTGTCCTGTATTGATGGTGCTATCCCATGGGGAGCCAAAGGATGCCCTATATTGATTGTGCTACTCTATGGGGAGCCAAGCGGTGCCCTGTATTGATGGTGCTATCCCATGGGGAGCCAAGCGGTGCCCTGTATTGATGGTACTATCCCATGGGGAGCCAAATGGTGCACTATATCAGGGGTGCCCACATTTTTTAATCTGGAGATCTACTTTTCAAATGACGAGCTCGATGAGATCTACCAATGAAAAAACAACTGCATTCAGGGGAGGGAGGGGGCGTGGCGGTACATTGAAGTCAATGGGACCGCAGCCAGGCCCCCCGCCCGTAGTGCGATCGCCTGCACCTGGAACGCAGGCACATTAGTGCCTGTGTTCCGGTCCAGTGCGATCTGCAAAAATGCTGCAAGCACAATTTTTTTGCAGATCACACTGGACTGGAATGCAGGCACTAATGTGCCTGCATTCCAGGTGCGGGCGGGGCTGTGGTGTTATTGACTTCAATACAACCCCTCCGTCCTAGAAAGCAGGCAGCCAGCCGGCTTGCGTTCCAGTGTGTTCTAGAGGCTGAACACTCTGGAACGCAGATTTTGTGGTGTGAACCGGCCCTCTCCCTTCTCTTCTTTCTTTCCTCGCGCTCTCTCTCCTCGCTCTCTCCCGTTTCTATCTGCTGTCTCTTCTCTCACTTTCTCTGCTGTCTTTCTTCTCTCTCTCTGCTGTCTCTTCTCTCTCTCTGCTGTCTTTCTTCTCTCTCTCTGCTGTCTCTTCTCTCACTTTCTCTGCTGTCTCTCTCCTGTCTGTCTTTTCTTATCTCCACTGCAGCAGCTTCCCAGGTCTCCTCTTGTGCGCCCGCATCCTGTCTTCCCGCGGTGCTCGTGTGGCAGGATACAGGTCAGTGAGCCAGTGGTAGATCGCGATCGACCTAATGGTGCTACACCATGGAGAGCCAAAGGATGCCCTATATTGATGGTGCTATCCCATAGGGAGCCAAAGGATTCTCTATATTGATTGTGTTACTCTATGGGGAGCCAAGCGGTGTCCAGTATTGATGGTTCTAATCACATGGGGAGCCAAAGGGTGCCCTATATTGATTGTGCTACTCTATTTGGAGCCAAGCGGTGTCCTGTATTGATGGTGCTATCCCATAGGGAGCCAAAGGGTGCCCTATATTGATCGTGCTATTCCATGGGGAGCCAAAGGGTGCCTTATACTGATGGTGCTACTCCATGGGGAGCCAAAGGGTGCCCTATATTGATCGTGCTATTCCATGGGGAGCCAAAGGGTGCCTTATACTGATGGTGCTACTCCATGGGCAGCCAAAGGGTGCCCTATATTGATTGTGCTACTCCATGGGGAGCCAAAGCGTGCCCTATATTGATCGTGCTATTCCATGGGGAGCCAAAGGGTGCCTTATACTGATGGTGCTACTCCATGGGCAGCCAAAGGGTGCCCTATATTGATGGTGCTACTCCATGGGGAGCCAAAGGGTGCCCTATATTGATGGTGCTACCCCATAGGGAGCCAAAGGGTGCCCGTATAAAGATGGTGCTACTCCATGGGCAGCCAAGGGGTATACTGTATTGATGGTGTTACCCCATGGGGAGCCAAAGGATGAACTATATTGAATGTTGCTACCCCGTGGGGAGCAAATGGGCGCCCTCTGTATTAATGTAGCCCATAATATATTTTTAAATTTTGCTTGCTGAAGTGGAAACACCAAGAACCCACTTAGTTATACGGGAAAAGAGATGATGCCAAAGGGAGGTGGGTTCTCTTACCCACATCATTTGGACATGTTTGTTACCTAAACCTTATTGGACTCAGATTCATGCCATTATATATCAGGTTACTGGCATAAGCCTACAGTTCTCCCCTGAGACATTCCTTCTGCATTGCAGGGACATGCTAACATCACACTCTCCCATATGATTATATGACTCTCGACATGTGATTCATTCTGAGCAATCCTCCGAGACACTGGAAAGAACCTCAAGCTCCCTCTTTATCTGAATGGATCAAACAATTGGATCTTATCCATGAAATGGGAGAACTAATGTTCGCGAGTTGGACAAATTTACCCGCATTTGGGCATGCTGGGACCGCTTTACCACGACTCCTACGTATGCTTCCCCTAAATCCTGAATTACTGGGATGTTGCCGGTTTAGGGTTTTCTCATTGTGATCCCTGCATCAACCCTGTTAGAAATTGTAAGGGGGGACATTCCGGCCACCAGGAGAGTCTTGTAGACGCATTCTTTCCTCCTTTACCTCTCCCCTTTACCCTTTTCTTGTTCAAGTCCTTTCTAGGTTCCTTTCTACTTCCCCTCCTCCTCCCGTTGCTTTTCTAAGACATGATGAGATCAGCTGGATACTAACTTTACAGATGTCAACATTAGAGGCAGGGCCGGATTTCCCACAAGGCCACGAGGCCCATCCTCGGGGAGGAAGGGAGCAGAGAGGCGACAGGGGTGTGGAATCTCCTGACGCCCAGGACATGCAGTTCCGGGCACCGGGCGGGTAGTTGTTTTCTACTTTGGGCAAGCGGGGCTAAATGTAGAGCGGGGAAGCTGCTCGTTTGTTTACAAGTGATCTTGGCGATGTCTCCAAGATCACTTGTAATAAGACTGCAGGTCCGTCCTCCCAATCGGAGAACCTCCATTCTCTGCTCCGTGTAAACAGTGAGAGGGGAGAGCTGCCTTCCTCTCTCAGCTGTCACAGCACAGTGCTGTGCTAGAACTTCTGTATTGGAAGTGACAGGTGCAATAAAGAGAACCTGTCACCTCCAAATGCTATCACACAGGGGATTGTTAGCACCTGTGTGATAGCAATAAAGTTAAAGTGACATTAAAAGTAAAAAATATTTTTCCCTCCCCCTAATGTTAATGAAAGCACTTACCTTAAATGATCTTCTTCTTCTTGTCGTTTTCATCTGTCCCTCCAGCGCTGCTGCGGGTCTCCGATCCAGCGCTGACTCCTCTGTCCTTGCTTGCACTTCCTGTCCCACGGTGTCTGCATGCGGGTGCATGTTGTCCATAGACTTACCTTGCGTCTCTCCTCGTCTCCCGGCCGAAAATCTGAACTGCGCATGCGCCCGCCCCAAGATGCTTTGCGGCCAACCGAGAATTTTTAGATTTTCGGACGGGAGAGCGCGGCGAAGACACAGGTAAGTTTAAACACGTTTCAAAGGGGTTTAAAAAAAAAAGTTTTTGCATATATCTACTGCTTGCTAGCCGTGGATATATGCAACAACACCTGAGGGTTTAATAACCCTTTAGAGTGATATTAAAGCCACATTTTTTTTGTATTTCTCCTTTAACTGCTTGAAGACCAGGTGTTTAGATCCCCTACCTGGCCAGGCCATTTTTCAGTGTTCAGCGAGGAGGATGTTGCGTTTTTTCCATTAAAAGTACTTCTTTCCTCGTTTTCTAGTGTGTCCCCGCCATGCTCTTCCCCCCGCCCCCTGCACAGATACCACCATCTAGTTAGTTCTCATGGAGGCACCCGTGCGCGCTCGTGCCCGCATCGGCTGTGTGCGTCCACTGACACGCACAGCCCTGTGGCAGGCCACGCCCCTTCCCTCTTTGATTGATGGCAGAAGGAGCTCCTCTGCCATCAGTATCCTCCCCCGCAACCTGGAAGTTCGGGGTACAGAGGATCGCTTCGGGACTGGCGGCGGAGACGAGCGCAGCTGACAGGTAAGTGTGTGGGGGACTGGCGTAGAAAAAAAGGTGCTGGGCTGTTTTTACCCTAATGCAGAGAATGCATTAAGGTAAAAAAACACCCAGACCTTAATGCTACTTTAAGTGAAAGAAAAAAAATTGATAAAAAATTAAATAAAACATTTTT